GCTCATGGTAGAACAACACTGCTCACATTGTGACTCAGGGAACAGAACACAGAGCAAAAAGAAGGAAGGGTGAATTGAGGGAAGGAAGAAAGGAAAGATGGAAGGGAAAGAGAAAGGGCTGCCATCCTGCAGTCCACTTTGTGGGCTTGTCCCCAGTGACCTAAAGACTTCCCAGTAGGCCTCACCTTTTAAAGGTTCCACCACCTCCCAGTAGTGTCATCCTGCGGAAAAAACTTTTAACACATAGGCTCTGGGGGGGCACTTGTCCCACACATAGCATGTACTGCATCTGGTCTTTGCGCAGCGAGGAACAGAGGTAGAACAAAAATGGAAGAACTTGTTTTTAGAAGGAACTTTATGAGATTCTTGATCCTAGGATCAGTGCCCTAAGAGTTTCTGGGGTGATGCATAAGGGCTGGAGGAAACTGAAGCCATTTTTGACTGTTAAGTCACCGGTATCCTTGGAGGTTTAAACCCTAGGGGGAGAAAATCAGCCCGGTCTAAAAGGACTGGTACTATGTCAAGGATAAAATGTCATTACCTCATTTACACTTTCAGTTTCTCACACCAGCGAAACTATTTGGCATTTCTACATGTGTGTCCTGTTTATTTCACTTCAGAGTATGGCCTCAATGTGCATCCATTTAGCTATAAATGTCTCTGGTTCCTCATTCTTTCTGACTGAGTAGTACTTTATTTTATATACATATTTAAAAACCCATATTGGTCTGGGGATTTAGCTCAGTGGCAAGGGCAATGTCCTAAATTCGATCTGCAGTACAAAAATAAAAAAAATCTATATCTTCATTTAATCACCAGTTGGTGAGCATTTGGACTGGATCAAAATGTACAATAGAGCCAGTAGGCTTGCCCCTTTGACAGAGGAGCTCAGCCCCTGCTTATGACCCTCTTTGAAAGAGGAGCCTGGCTGCCCAGGTGCCAACATAACGGTGTTCATAACCCCCTGTCCCAGTGAACAAGAGAATGAAGGATTCTCCGAGGCTCCTGGATGAAAACTGAAGCCCACTGGAGAAGGGAAGAAAATCTGTGATAAAGGCACACCACGCCACCATACTTAGTAAGTCAGAGGGACCAGCACCTCACTTGGAACCTGGTCTAACTTCAGGGGAAAGGCAGCTGGATCCTGCAGTAGAACCTTGCAGAGTTCCACCCAGGAGGAGGACAGAGATCTCAACTTGGGCTTTGCAGCCAAAAATCAGCCTGCACCTCAGGGCACAGCTGCTGGCTTGCTGAGACCAACTAGCTTAGACCTGCACACTCCTGCTCACGCTGTCTGTTGTGTCAGCAGAGGCATACCCTGAAGGAGGCCCTTTATTTCTATATGTATTTTTTATTTTCATTTATCTTTTTTTTTTTTGTACCAGAGATTGAACTCAGGTCCTTGTGCTTGTGAAGCAGGCACCAGAACCACTGAGCTAACTCCCCAGCCCTCACTTATCTTTAATTATTTAGAGATGTTTTTTATCTATCTTTTTCTTTTCTCAAATTCCTTTCCCTCTCTCTCTCCCCCACCTTGATCTCCACTATTCCCCTTTTTGTTCCTGTTCCTATCCTAAATTGAATTTATTTTTTCTTTTCCCTTTCATCTTTTTCCTTCTCTCAAATGACATTAGTTTTAAAAGAAAGAAATTATTCTTTAGCCTCCCTATGCTGCTAGTTTGTTTTGTTCTTGAGAATATTTTGTTTTGTCTTCTCCTCCTGTCTCCAACAGTTTCCTAGAGTTTGTGTGATCTTCCTGTGTCCTCTGACCTCACTTCTAACTTTTCTCTATCCCATCTATCTATCCCTCCCTCCCCCACTCCTTCTAAATCCCTATCCTGAAGGGTAAAGTTGCTGTACTGAAGAGTTTACTCACTGTAAACATATTTTGGGCTGGTCTTCTATTTTGATTTAATTCACACAGTTAAAGGTGATAGATTAACGACTACCACAATTTGCCGTTTTCTAAGCTGTGCTTGATGCTATTGTGCTGCTGATTGTATCACTTGGGCTAAAGTGTCATGATTGATCTAATCAGTTTTCCTCCCTGGTATAATGAAAATGAGATTCCCTCAGAGTCATTAGAGACTCAAAACCTAAAGACCAGCTGTAACAGGAAGATTGAAGCATTAACCCAGGAATTAAACGAAGGATAGTACCAATGACAAAAATAGAAATGAGAAAACATTTAGTTGCTCTTTTTTATTTTTTATTTTTGTACCAGGGATCAAACTTGCACTTGCAAGGCAGGCGGCAGAACCACTGAGCTAAATCCCTGATCCTGAGAAGACATTTAAACAAGACACGAACACAGACTTCCACTTCAACAGAGGTGAACTCTGGGGGAAATGAGGGGCCATCTGGACCCCTGAACTAATAGCACAGGAGATTAAAAAATGACAAATGAGGCCCTAGAAAAATTCAAAACACAAATAATTTCCAATGATCCATACTGTATAACTAAAATAAACTTAAACTTAATGAATAAAACATTTTCCTTACCTTCAGGGGTGATACATTTTAACTAATTTGGTAGGATTTCATGCTCAAAAACATAAGCTGCCCTCAGGAACTCTTAAGAATTACAGGAAATTGTGAGCAGTGTCTATAAGATAGATCTTTCCAGGTGAGTACACAAGTCAGTGACATTTGAGGAGCAAAACATTCCTCGGTCATCCCTTACCAACTTGTGGACATTCAGAGCATACTTGTTATCTTTATTTTTTTAAAGCTGCCCCACAGGGGTGGCAATACTGTAAGCATTTCCTCATCTCTAGATCATGGTACATAATAAATCTTTTTTTGCGGGTGGGGGGGGGACTTGGGATCGAACTCGGAACCTTGTGCTTGTGAGGCAGGCAGTGGCACCACTGAGCTAAATCCCCGGGCCCACAATCAGTCTTTTAATCAGTCTTTTCAATCAATCTTTCTTCAGGGAGGTCAGACATGGCAAAGGGATTTGTCTTCAGATTGAGCTGTGGGCAGTTACCAGTTGAATGTGGTTGTCTTAAAGAAGAAAGTCCATTTTTCATCTTTGCCTCCTTCCCTTCCCGCAGTGAATCTGGGGTACCCAGGTCTCTAAGATGTGGCTTTGTCTCTGGGTCCAGAACAAATGTGAAGCAGGGATAGATGACATAAAAAAAAAACCTCTTGATTGAGAGCAAAATACTGAATAACACAGCATGCTTCCCTATGCATGGTCTACAGACAAACCAGTCATTGAACTAATATTTTTAAGGGTCTTTTCTATGTCCATAAATGGTGATAGACTGGTGAAAACACTGAAATATTCTTCTCAAATGAACAGAAGTTTAAACAGGACAATATGAAGTAGTTTTAATGCTATGTGAAGAATTAACTCATATGTCTTTCCCACTATGCCATTTTTCTTTCTTAAGTTTATTACCTGCTTTCTGAATCTAAGCCTATGTCTGTGATTGAAATTGTGGGCACCTGGACATTGCATTAATATTGTTTCGTGACTCCTTCCTTTTCTTTTTGGTATTTGCTTTATGCTTTATATATTTAGATTTTTGACAGGTAGATAGGTTTCTCACATCTGGGCTCTTTACCTTGGATTACAGGACATTAATTGTTCAGGGTAGACAATAAGATGAGGTGGAAAGGGGAAAGGATTGAGAGAACTGGAGACTTGAGTTACTGTACTTGCTTGGCCATTTAACAGCTTTACGACCTTAGGCACATAGTCACTACTCTCCAGAAGTTGCTATTTCATTGATTTTTTTTTTGAGGGTTATATGACATAAGGTATGTGTGGTGCTAGGCAGAGGACTCTTGGGAGATGGAAAAGTCTGTTCTTCCCAAGAGAACTCTACCTTCTCTGAATTCTCTTGATCTCCATCTTGTCCCCTTCTGGAAAGTTGGCAACTGCTTTGACCACATTTCAGGTCCCCTATTGGGCCACGATGACTAGCCAGTATCTGAAAAGATCATCCATTATTGTAGCTGTGACTCCTTCATTGTTCTTGTCTCTTCCTCCTTACCCATGGGTAAGTTAGTCTAGACCTTTTTCCACGCATGGGGCAGATCTGTTAAAGTTTTCATTTCTCTTGTCACTTCTCCAGTTCTTGCCCATGTAAGGCCATGTGCACTTCCTCACCAGAGACCTGAAGCAGCAGGGCTACTTTATCTTGGATCGGAGACTCTAGAACCATGACAAAAATAGCCCTTTCTCTTTATAAGTTAATTGCTTCAAATATGTCACTACAGTAACACGAAGCTGACTAAGACACATGGGATATAGATTGTGGTTAAGGGAGAAAAAACTGAAAAAAGTAATCGCATCATGTGGAGAAGAGCAAATGAGAGGCTAATCTACTCACTAGAGACTTAGCAAATATTTACACTTCTGATCTTTGAGGGGCTACGCTTCCTGCATCCGTGAACTTCCTTGTCTTCATATGATCCACACATGACATGGTGAGATTCTGCAAGCCTGAGCAATCTGTGTTGTGTGCACGCAAGGATTACAGAGATCTACAGCCATTACCGGAGGGGGACAGGGCTCTGGTTACTGACAGATATGGCAACATACACACAATATTCATAGCTAACCTAACCCTTTACCCTAACTCTGTGTTGTGGTAAGAGTTTAATCATAATTACCAGACATATATTCAGCCTTTGCCACCCCCAAATTCTTCCAGATTGTGTCACAAAAAATTTTTTCAATTAGATGAACCCTAACTACTATAAATTCAAGGTTCTGCTGTTCAGAAATTGCAGAAACAAGGGAAATAGCATGTTTTAGAAAATATCTTAGTTAACTGTTGCAGTTGTAATGTTTCATTTGGTAATAATCATTCATTATTTTTCAGTAATTTATTCAGTAATTATATATCAGTCACATCACATGAGCTGTGTGTGGTGAGTTAAAAATTTAATATTAAGGGCAGGGGATTTGGCTCAGTGGATCCGGCCTTGCAAGGACCCAAGTTTGATCCCCGGTACCAAAAAAAAAAAAAAAAAAAAAAAAAAAAAAAAAAGAATTCAATGTTGAACAGGATGACAGGGCCTTGCTGACTATTGCAAATAACAAAAGAGCATGACGCTGTACCAATACCACAAAACATGTGCAGGACAGAGTGGTGGCACGAGGCAGCTCCATTCAGATGGTCCAAGGACACTTTCACAGTTGCGAGATGATTGAATTTGGTTTTGAAAGAAAATGAGGAGTTAAACAGATGGAGTGTGGGGTATAATTTGTGAACTGAATGTGAAATGAAACAGGTGATGGCAGTATGGAATCAGGTAGGAACATTCACAACTGTTTTGACGGAAATGTAAATGATTCCATGAGATGCCCTACACGAGCAGAGCGGGAGCTAACTTGCAGTCGGTCGAATAAAGAAAGTTTTATCTTATAAAAGATTTGAGTTATAGGATCATGCTGTGCTACACAGGCACGGCCTTATGGGAAGCTCTCAGATAATATAGATTTATCTACCCCAAACCAAAAGCAATTGCACTTCTAGAATAATTACCTGGAAGTTTCATAATTTTTAAACATTATTATTGGTTATACTATGTGTCTACTTTGACTGATGATGTATCTATCTTGTAAAATGGGTTACTTTGGTGACTGAGAGAAAAAAAAATCAGAGGAACAAGCCAGGACTGTTCCATCCAAACCAGGGCACATAACCAACCAAACGACTCAAGTGGCGGACAGCCAGGTGGAGAATCATAGTTTCTGCTGTCTACAGTTCACATCCTGAGGAAAGAGGCGTGATGGAACATTCTGTGACTGGGAATTTTGTGTTTGGAGATGTAGGTAGGGGTGAAATTGCACTTCCTGCCTGTCCATGTGAGATAAAATCAGAGCTGGAAGTGCTGATAGTGCTCAGAGTCCCGGGTCCTTTTGAAAGACTGTGTGACACAGACCAGTGGACAAAGAAGGCCTCCTCTTCTCTTGGAAAATCTGTAAACATGAAGCTGTTTCTGGTTCTCATTGTTCTGCTGTCTCAGGTACTCACAGGTAACTGTCCAAATGTACCATAAAAATGTAGCAGATATCATATGAGTGGGGATAAGGCCTCTGAGATTGTTGCTCTCTGGCCAGTATCATCAAAAGTTCCTGTTCTCTTGGGCATCTGTCTTGAGTCTGTGTCTTGGAAGAGAGCAGCCAGGGAAGTTGGAGGAGGGCTGTGTTCTTGAATCCTCTCCAAAGATTATCTAGAATTAACTTTTGGATGCAGAACTCAGCTTTGACCCAAGAGCCTGGCCATCCCCTTGCACTCAAATTTATGTTCAGTCTGTGCTACTACAGTAATGGGGACGGCACACAGTTAGTTTAAAGTCATGTCCATGTGAAGTTAAAATATATCTTCATCACCACCAGTGACTTATTCCTTTCAGATCTCAATTTTCACCTCTGTCAACTGTAATGACTACAAATCAAGTGAGGGTTACAAAGGTGAGAAATGTGAAGCACCAAGTTCACAGTGGGAGCTCGACCAGTGAAAGATACCTTCTTCCTATCAAGGAAGAAGACAAAGAAGGGTCTTCCTGGGGCTCTCAAAGTACACCTCTCTAATCTTCAAAGACATATTGTGAAATCTAGAATAGGGAGAACACATCTGTCTCTGTCTTTGTGATCTGTGGTCTGATCTGTGAATTAGGTGAAAATTAGGATTGTAAATAAGGATTGTAGGACATGAGTGTATTACTGCATATTGGCGACAGTTTGGATCTCAAGGGGGAACAGATATTCATGGAACTGAGTTTGATCCCCAGGTAAAACATTTATCCAAGAATAAGAGACATGTGGGGGATAAGCAAGAGTCAGAGCCAAGTTCTGAAGAAGTCCTGCAGGCTGGAGAAGGAGTTTTCAACAGCATTTATTGCTAAGACCAAGGATCTTGGCAAAGAGAGATCTGATGTCCATATCAGTGAATGTGAAACCCAATTATGTGGTTACTTAAAAAAGTCCTTCTGTGATTGAAAAGAAGAGTTGATTTGACTGAGCTGTATTGATGGCAACAAGTTAGTGCTCTCTGGTGACATAGAACTGAGAGGCGTTGCTGACTTTGGAGCACGGAGCAGAGATTTCTAGGGTCCTTGGGGTGTGATATGGCCCCATAACCAGGCATTGAGCTCTCCTGTCACATATGTTCTAACATTGCCTGTGCCAATTAGGCATTGGCCCAGAACTTGGGGGCTTACTGTGCTTCATTTGGGATGATTTTCAAGGAGGGGCCCTGAGTTTTCTCCCATCAGCATAAGGCTCACTTCGGGACTACAGGAGGCCGTAACTTGTGGGGACCCACATGCCTCTGCTGTTTATCCTTGGAAACTAACTTTGTTCCTATGTGTTTTCCTATGTACAGCTGGGGCAAAACCCCCGAGATGTTTTCATAATGTGGCAGGCTACTGCAAGAAGAAATGCAAACTGGGAGAAATATCTGAGATAGGGTGTCTACACGGAAAATTATGTTGTGTGAACGAAGAGGAAAACAAAAAATACTACAAATTCCAGCAACCACCTCCGCACTCTGATCAGAAGGTCGAGGGGGTGTCTGACTATATTATTTACCCCACCATCACACTCGTCTCAGTCCTGTGAAGCAAGCCTTTGTTTCCTTGTTCTCCACTTGTCCTAAATCAAATGCGAATCAAGCCCAGCAGGTAGCAGAGATGTATCTCCTTCCTTATATGAACTTGATTCTCACCAAATAAAGTCCTATGCTTTTGCCTATATTTATTTGTTGATTTTCACTCATTTTTTGAATACTTCAAACATGAATAAATAACTGCCACGCTCAGGGTGCTACAGTAGTGAGAGGGGATAGAGAAATGAAACGAACACTTTAGGAAGGGTGAAAGCCAGCCTTTCCATGTTCCATGCAAGACAATATTTTATAGAATCTCAAGTATTTCTTTTTTTAGAAAAATTGAAATTTCTTATGCCTAAGAAAATCTGAATGCTTCACTGTCCTCTCCCCTCCAAATACAAAGGGTTTTGCTAACAACCAAGAATTCATTTAAGGGAAGAAAAATATTTGAACGTTTTAATAACATTTATCAGGGCAGATCTGGGTGGTGAAGACAGCTACTAATAATTACAATATGTCATTCAAAACTCATTTAATGTGTTTGCTCCAAATCCATTTTCAGTAGCAATTTGATTTTTTTTGTTATTTTATTTTATTTTATTTTTTTGGTTTTTTGAGACAGGGTCTCACTATGTAGTTGAGACTGACCTGGAACTCACTATGTAGCCCAGGTTGGTCTCGAACTCACAGCGATCCTCCTGCCTCAGCCTTCTGAGTGCTGGGATTCCGGGCATGCACCACCACGCCTGGCAACAGCAATTTGAATATTTAGTTGATACAGTCTTTAGACAAGTGCTACAGTTAGGATACTTGAAAGTCTTATATAGTCTGTTTATTCAGTGGTGTGAAATTTAAAACCTTTAAAAAGCACTTTATGAACTAGATAGAATTACAGTATGCCACGAAGGCAGGAAGTACTTTCTAGATGAGCAAAATGGAAACTTTTGTGGTAACATCAATAGCTATTGCCTGATTTAAAACATTGGCTGTAAATAACTTATACACTAACATTTATTCATATGGAGTAAACTGATAACTTTGTTCCTCCTTGAGCAGCTCATCATCTTATTTTCCTGGGAAGGAAGACAAAGACAAATATTTAGGTGGACATATTACAGTTTCAAAAGCACACAATGACCTTCCTTTTAATAGCTATGGCATTTTTGTTGGAATTTCAGCACCATAGAGACTAATGCATGGATATTTTCAGCTGAATCCTGAGAGTCATAGTAATAGGGCTCACACAAGAAAATCTTTCATTGTGGCAATCTCTTTTGCTGAGTTTTACCACAGTGCCACCAGGGACATTTTAAGGGGGTGTCCATTCTGTCATTCTGACACAAAAATGGGTCTTGCCCATCATTTTAAAAATTATATGCTCAGGGTCAGGGATTTAGCTCAGTGGTTCCACTGCCTGCCTTGCAAGCACAAGGACCTGAGTTCGATCCCTGGTACCCCCTCAAAAAAAATTATATACCAGATATGAGTTCCCTGTTGTATTAGATACAAGATTCTATTTTGGTTGAGTTAGTTTCAGGGAAGTATTTGTAACCAAACAGATAATTAAGCCTTGAATTCTACTTTGACGAGGTGGATCTAGTCTTTAACTTTTCCCCCATTATCCTTGTATTCATTCCATACTCATAGGGGAGGTGAGGATGGGCAGTATTTTTAGGCCTCTTTTCTGCCCTGTTTTTACATAAAAAATAAAAGTCTTATATTGTTGTCAGTACCCTTTTGGTATAGGTAGTATTATTGGTGCCTTATTTTTTTATCTGTCTTAGAGCAGCTCCAAAATCTTATTCACAAATCATTTTAAAGTATTTTATTTTATTTCTGTAAAGGAGTACTTTTTATCTGTTTTAAAATATTATGATATGCTAGTTTAAAATTTTTTTTTGTTTTTGATTAATGTGTAACAACTGTGTATGTATGTACTTATGGGTTACAGCATGATATGTCAACCCACAAATACAAGAATACCTTGGTCAAATGCAGGTAATTAACGTTTCCATTTTTTTAACAAGAACATACGCTTTATTAAGAACTAATCTTCCTCATATTTTTCATGATGGGGGTGCGGGGGTCCTAACTGCCCAGGGGGTCCATCCGAATGGACCCTTTTACCTCTAAGGCATCGACTTCTGAGTGGAGCCCGCTGAGGGCAGCTCTTGGTGGCCTGCTCAGGGCCCCATCTCCTGCGTCCCATGGAAACGACTCTGGTGCAGCCAGGGGAAGGCCCGCCCCGCGAGCCGACTGGGGGTGCTCCGTGGTCTGGGGGCGTCGTCCTCCGGGTGTGCTGAGGAGGTGGAGGGCTCTGTGGTGCCTGACTTGTGGCTGCTGCTCACCTCGCCTGTCCTCTCAGCACGTTCCTGTCCCTTCGCTGTCGCAGGCAGCTCTGGGAATGGGCCGACATCTGTGTTTCCTGATGGTTTGCACGTGGGTAATTCGAGACGCACCTCATGATCCTGAGTTAGCTGGGTGGAGAGACAGCTGCTCGGCCTGAGGTCTTCCACCGTAGTTAAGTTCGAGGAAATCTTTCTTCTTTCTCTGAAGTTTTTCGTGATTTTTATTGTCCTCTTTTTGGATTTCTTCATCATTCAAATGAAAACTCTGAAATGTATTCAGCAGTTTCACGAGACCACCAGTTTTGTTTTGTTTTGTCTTTTTGTTTTGTTTTGTCTGTTTTGTTTTGTCTTTGGGGCACTCTTTGCCTCTACATTGATTTTCATGAGCAGCTGATTCTTCAAAGCCATTGTCCTCAGCCCAGGCCACAGAGATACCTAGTTTGTGGATCTGCTGTGGGTCGTCCCGAAGTAGCTGTTGTAGGTCGGGCCATCTCTTTTTCCCTTCAGGCCCCCACCTGCCTTGGACAGGACAGATGAGGTCGCCTGAAGAGCACACAGTGGGAGTCGTGTCTTCAAGGAGGATGATGTCCTCTCAGGTTGAGAGCTCTTCACGGGGAGACAGTCCCCAGGGAGCTTCAGTGTGGATTTGTTTTCGCAATTGCAGTCCTCTGCGTCAGAGGGGCCGCTGCTAGGGGAAGAGGATGCCATGGGGTCGAGAAGCCAATGTGAGAGTCTCCGTCAACACCGGAAACTTCCATAGGGGAAAATATGGGAGATATTGGGGAGAAAATTCACTGCCCAACTTCTGGAGCATAAACATGAGATCCAACTCCTGGAGCACAAACAGGAGATATGAGGGAGTCTTCAGCCCTCAAGTGTCAGTGGCTCATGGTGAGCTAGGTCATAATCCATCTTCTATGACTGCTGCTTACTGTGGCGATACCCAAACCAGCATAGTCAGACAGTAGGAATAGAGAGAAAGGGGCAGGAAACCATAGGATCTATTCCCTTCTTTCTTTTTTTTTTTCCTTTTATTGAGTTTATTGGTACATTTTAGGTATACAGTACGATTACATTTGTTATTGGGATTGTGTACCTTGACATGACAGGTCCTGGTTCTCATTTTTTTCCCCCTTGTCCATGCCCTCCCTTCACCCCCTGTCCTCCCTTCACCCCCTCCTCCCTTCCCTATTTACAAATACTTTATTTCCATTTTTTTATTTTCTCATATTTTTTCCTTTTCCCTTATTAGATTTCCCCTACCCTTCCCACTTTCCCTATACCTTTAGCCCTTTTCTTCCTACTTCATATTGTCAATTATCTCATTAGGATCTTATGTACTATTACAGTTTATTCACACCAGAGAAACTATTTGGTGTTTACACATGTGTGACGTATTTATTTCACTTATGAGTATATCCTCAATATGTACCCATTTTCCTATGAATGAATCTAATTTCTCATTCTATTCCCTTCCTCTGAAACATCATGACCACACACCATGCAGGCTTAAGGCTCCCTCTTGAGGCCAGAAGGACCAATGCCCCAGGGTGGGGGCTCCTTTCCTCTTGTCTTGTGGCATCTGAGATCCTTCCTGTCCTCAAGGCACAGAGACCTTTTTTGAGGGAGAGCTGCATAAGCACCCTGGTCTAAGTCAGGGTGATAAGTGCAACAGAAGAGCTTAAAACTCAGTCCTGAGAGGATAAAGGAGGGCACCTTATGCAGCTGAGCCCCGTGTGAGCAGGGGACCAAGAGAGACCCTCTAAGGAGAGGCCTTCTGACCTGAGAGTTCAGGGAGCCCTGGAGTGGAGGTGACAAAGAGGTGGGTGCACTGGGGACTGTGGCTGCTACGGTCGACCACTTCCTATTCCCATCTGTCTGGCAGCAAAGCAAGGAACCCAAGCTCCTGTCCCTCATCTTTAAATTAGTCAGATGGTTAATTTTGTGTGCCCACTCCACCGTGCACTGGGGGCCCAGAGGCTTGGTAAGACGTGGTTCTGGGTGGCTCTGGAGGAGACCAACATTTTGATCCCACAGATGGAGTCAAGTAGAGTCCTCTTGTGCATGGGTGGGCTCTGTCCGGTCAGGTGAGGCCAGAACAGGGGAAAAGGAAGGGCAGATGTGTGAGCCGCAGGTGAGTGCGAGCCCTAGCCTGGGCTGCCTCGGGCCCCTTGGCGCTGCTGCCTGCCAGCCCCGAAAGCTGATGCCACCAAAGCCCGTTCTCTGAGCTGCCGGCAGCTGTGTGGATGAAGTGAACATGTATGAGCAGAGAGTGAGGTGCAGGCCTGCAATCCTAGCCTTCCAGGTGGATGAGGAAGGAAGACCAGGGCTTCAAGGCCAGCCTGTGCAACTTAGAACATCAGTGGCCCTGTCTCTAAATAATAAAAGAAGGAGTGGGGATGTAGGCTGGTGCAGAGGCTCAGGTTCAATCTCATTTCACAGATAAACAAACAAACGCGTATGACTCTGCTGTTTTTGACACCAGTAAAGCATGTCACTGAGGGAACGAGTACATAAAAACTTCATCTGCTGTGCCGCCATCAGCTCCAGCAAGGACTCTGAGATCTGGGACGCCGCTCTGAGATCCCTTCTCCCTCCGGCCTGCTTGGGCCCAGGCGGCGGGTCGGTGGCCTCGCCCTCCCCTCGCTGTGCCGCCGTCAACATTACCATTTTCTTATTTTTTTCATTACATTTGGAATTTTCAAGCTCTTCTAGTTCTTCATAAAATATATAGTGGGTAGTTATGAATTATATTCTCCCTTCTGTGCTGTGGAGCCCTAGAATTTACTGCATGTGTGTTTTGATATCTATTATCCACCCGACCTCCCACTAGTGTCCCCTCACCACCCACCTATAGTAATCACAGTTATATATTCACACTGACATTTTAAAACAATTTTATTGGTACATTTTGGGTATACAGTACAGTGACATTCATCATTGGAGATTTGTACATTGACGTTTTAAAAACTTTCATCTTTGAGAGAGACTATATTATATTTGTTCTTCTGTGTCTGGCTTATTTCACTTAACACAATCTCCCAGTTCCATCCATCTTGGTGAAAATAACAGGATTTCATTCTTCTTTCTGGATGAGTGATGTGGTC